AAACAGCCTATAGGATGGGAGAAATATCTGCAATCTGTGTGTCTGACAAAGCTCTAATATCCAGAATCTACACGGAACTTAATTAGCAAGAACAAAATCCCAAGTAAAGAATGTAAACAGACACTTTTCAAAAGAAGACTTGCAAGTGGCCAGCAAACATGAACAAATGCTCTTTGGGAAGCCGCGGTGGGTAGATCATGAGGTCAGGAGTTTGAGACCAGCCTGACCAACATGGTGAAACTCCGTCTCTACTAAAAATACAAAAATTAGCCAGGCATGATGGCGCACACCTGTAACTTGTAATGGTGCATAGTCTGATGTTGAAACTATAAAATACCTTAGACTGGTACTTTCTAGTGTTTTCCAGCAGATGGCACTGCTCATCTTACAAATAGTTCAGTAAGCACAGAAGGTTTGCTCACAGCCAGTTTGTGCCCTGAGCTCCTTGGCACACAGCTTGGGATCCACAGCCAAGGGCTACAGAGAAGACAAAAGAGACATTGACATCATGGTGGAAGAGGAATCCATAAAGAGTTCATTTTTGAGGATTGGGGCAGTTCCTTCTGCCCTGCAGATCAAGATGCCCTGAGGGCAAAGAGCAGAGGGGTACTCTCTGGTGGCCCAGCAGTTCTGCCCCGGGGAGAATTCTCTTCTGCTACAGTGAAAACCAACAGGACGCTGCTTCATCCCGGGCGGACCAGGAAGATAGGTCAGAGTGAAGAGCTGTCTGAGTGTTTCAGATCACACAGTGACTGCCTGCTTGAGGGCTTCAGAACTCCTTCATGAATTGGGAGACAGCTGGCGAGGCGAAAGGTGCGTGGGCAGGATGGGCCCAACATGACAACTCTCAAGATGATACGCGTGTTTCTCCCGTGTGTTTCTGTGTGTCTTTGTTTGTGTCCATGTATGTGCATGGCTGTGTCTGTATTTCTGCATGCATTTGTGTGTGTGTGTGTTTGTGTGAGTGTGTGTGCCTGTGTGGTATGAGTGTGTGTGAGAGACTGTGCCTGCATGTCTCTGTGTGTGTGTGTGTGTGTGTGTGATAACATGCCTGTATGAATGGTGAATGGGTTTTCTGGTTGAGTTGCTGTGGAGGGAGACAGGGACTCTAGGGGGCTTCCTGCCCACCCCTCCTTCCCTGAAGCCAGTAGCACAAATAGCACAATAAAAGGTAGTTTAATTTCATTTCATGCAAATGCAAAACTTTTGTGCTTCAAAAAGGACTCCATTTAGAAGGTTAAAAAAAAAAACCTTCCAGAATGAGAGAAAATAATTGAAAATCATGTATCTGGTAAGGGATTGTTATTCTGAATATATAAAGAACTCTTGCAACTCAGTATTATAAAGTGAAGTAAGCCAATTTAAATATATACAAGGAATTTGAATAGACATTTCTCCAATGTGAGACAGGTAAACTACACGGTGGTCTCAAAAGAACAGAAAATTTTAGGCAGCAGTTTCAGGTGACGAGCAAAAGGAATCTGTTGAAATATCTGCAGCGGCTGTGGGCTGATAAGATGCTGAAAAACAGCGTGTGGACCAAGCTAAGAATGAGTGGGCCTAACATGGCCCTGGATTTGACCCAGATTTCACGTAGGACCTCATTACATGCTCATTAACATACTAGTCAGCTCCCTAGCAGTTCTAAGAATACTCATATTTGGTATAAACATTCGAGGCACCAGAGGTCTGAGAAAACCTGTCCTTCCAGGAATTTTCATGAATATTCCACCCCTTGGTTGAAGAAACCCAGAAAGGTGGCAGCCCCAAGCCCCCTTGCCCCGCCTCTCTGAGTTCCCCTGCATTCCCTTTACTTGAGTATTTACTTTTCCTTTTACAATAAATCTCCATCCTTTCTCTATTTTCCTACTGGTCTTCGAATTCACTTCCCCATGCGCTGCCAAGAGCCCCGCACCAGCTGGGGTCCGGGTCCCACCAGCGTTTGGGGACCTCCCCTTGCCCACTGGCATTAGAAGAATGCAAATGGCAGTGAACCCAGGAAAAGGTGCTCAGTGTCCACAGCCCTCAGGGAAATGCCAACCGCACCCACAAGGGGACGCCTCACTCCGCTGGAATGGGTGACCCCAAACACAGTGAGGCTGGAGGGGGTGGGGCCTGCGTTCCTTACAAGG